GTCCCTTCCCATAGAGCACCCCCTCCCCACCACACACACACACACACACACACACACACACACACACACACCCTCAGAGACCAGGAAGGTTTCTCTATGGAGGGAGGCCCTGGGGGGGAGGGTGTGGGAGGCCCCTCCCCCACACACCACCTGGCCCCCCTCCCACCTCCACATATGGGTTGGGGGGTGGGGAGAGGCAGCCAACAGCCAAACCCTCCCAAACAGGAGTTGGTTTCTATGGTAACCAGGGTGCCAGGAGGAAGGGGGGTGCTCCAGATCCAGCTGTCCCCCTGAGCACCCTACCCGGGGCCCCAGAGCCCCAGCACAGGCCAACCCCACACCCTGCACCCCCCATCTGCCAGCTCTGGAGGCCAGCTGGGCCTGCCAAGAGCACTCCCTTCATTGTGCCACAGAGCTTGCCACCTGGGCACTGGCAGGCCCAGGGTGGGCCCCTCCAAGCGAGAGTCCCAGGTTCGGGTCTGCACCCACCTGCTTACAGTGAGGCCCCATGCCCAATCCTCAGGCACGGTGTACCCTCTGGCCCTCGCCACGTCCCGCTTAGCCCAGGACCATGGCTGTCTCCGTTCCCAAAGGACAGGACCTCTGGATGGACTAGAACCCAGAGGGCAGAAGGCCCTCATAGACGTCCTGACCACCCTCACCCACCCCGAAACTGGAGGCATCCAACCGTGGGGCCTCTGCTGGGCAGGAAAATGGTGTACGGAACAGCAGGCGGCAGGGGGGAGTTGTCTAGAAGGGGTTGCTGGCTCCGAGACAGGCGGGGGACCCCAAGGTGTCCCTGTTTCCTAAGGACCCATCCTCAAGTTGGGAGGTAGAACCAGAGGCTGCAGACAGGGAGGGGTGCCCGTGAGTGAGCCATGGAGAAGGGGGATGGTGAGGGAGGAGCACCCACCACGGAGAAACTCACCTCTCACAAGACAGAGCCCCCCACCCTCCCACCCGTTCCCACTCCGCCGTGGGTAACTACCAGCTGCCAATTCCTTGATGAGAAGCTCATCACAGAAGAAACGGGGACCCTTTCCAAACCCAGACGTGAGCCCCACCTCCAGCGCCCGGAGCCTGCAGGAAGGATGGGGTTCACCCACAGCCCCCCTCTCCTAGGTGCCCCGGGGCGAGCTCGTCCGGAGAAAAACGGGGCGCATGTGGGCCTGGCTGGCGAGGCAGCCCTGCAGGCTCCCGGCCCCCACCCCTGCTGGCAGGGGTCCCCCCACTCCCAGTCGGTCTGCCTGAGAGAGAGGGGCCTCAACCCACAGAAAGTGGGGGCTGGGGGCACTGAACTTTCGAACCCGCAAACCCCCCGCGCCGTTCATTACCTTAACACGAGTTAAAAATAACCGTCTCATCTCTTTAAATTAGTCTGTCTGCAATTACCGCCTGGCACGGCGCTGCCCGCCATCGTCCCGCTGGAGCGGCGCCAGGTGGCAGGCGGGGCCTCACCCTGTCTGTCTGTCTGTCTGTCTGTCTGTCGGTCTGTCTGCCCGCCTGCCTGCCTCCCCGTGCCCCCTTGCCTGCGCCGCGCCCGCACCCACCCCCCCAGGGGCCTCCCCGCCTTCCGCCTCCAGAGCGAGCTCCCGGAGCCTGAGCCTGAGCCGTGTGTGGGGAGGGGGCTAGGGTCCCGCACCCCTGGGAGCCGGGGTGGGGGGGTCCTCGGGGAGCAGAGCTGGGGCCGGGGGAGGGGCGCGGGAGGCCCGGGGAGCCGGAAGGGCCCGCAGAGCGCCAGCGCTGGTGGGTGGGTGTGAGCAGGTGGCCGTGGGAGTCTGCCGGGCGTGCCAGCAACTGTGCCAGGAGCGGCTGGCACGGGCTCGTGCCCAGGAGGCGGGCAGCTGCCAGACCCCCGCGCGTGCAGTGCGGGAGGGTGGGGACACCCCCAACCGGGGCTCACACCGCCTCCTCCCGCACCCCCAGCAGCCCTTGGGGCTGGGGATCCCCGAGGACAAAGGAGGAGGAGGGAACTCAGTTGGAGCGGGCTGGGGGGAGGCCGGGGCGCCCCTGCACCTCACGGCTCTGCACAGCCAGGCGCTGGCCGGGCCCCGGTCAGCCTGGGTGGGAACGGGCGTGACCCCCGTCCCAAGTCCCCAGGGCCAGGGAGTCCCCAGGAGCTGTGCTCCTCCCCCACCAGGCCTGGGGACAGGAATGGGAGGTGCCCAGGCCTGGCTGGGAGCTCCCAGGGGAGCCAGCAGCCAGGAAACACAAAAGCAGGCAGAACAACTCCAGGGGCGCTGAGGCGAAGGAGTGCCATGACCCAGGGCAGCCTGGAAGGCTTCCCGGAGGAGGCCAAAGGGAAGGGAGGTGGGGCTGGAAAGGGATAACTGGGCTAGGGGGAGTCCTGTGGACGCCTTGTCCGGGCCCTGAGCCCCCCTCTCCAGGCTTCAGCCTCGTGGGTGGCCCATACCCGCTGCTGATCTTGCCTGCTCCAGATCCTCTGGGCCCCCCCACCCCACATCAGCCCTTCCTGGCAGGGCCTCACCCCTTCCCCTCCCTGCATGCCCTGGAGCCCCGAGTGCCAGCCCGGCGTGCCCAGGGTCTCCTCCCCAACTGGACCCTGCACGCCCTTGCCTTTGCTGGGGGCACGGGGGGCGGGGGGGTCAACCTCTCTCTGGGAGACTTTCTCCTAAGTTCCCTTCCCCCTCCTGGAGGCAGCCAGACCAGGTGCCCACCAGGTGCCCAGGAGGCTGGCCTGGCTCCCCAGGTGGCCTAACCTGCCTGCTGGAGACCCTGCCCCGCCCCCGCCCTGCCTGCAGGCGAAACAGCCCAGATGCATCCTGAAGGCGGGCGGTCCCCTGCCCCGTCCAACACGGCTGACACACACAGGGGCTCAAGTGCTGCCCTTCTGTGGGGGACGCAGAAGGAACCCTGGAAACAGGCAGGCCCAGGCGCTGAGGCAGACCCCTGCCCTACAGCAGGCCCTCAGCGGAACTGACGGGGTCCGAGAGGGGCTGTGCACCCCGGGAGGGGGGAGGAGCTGACGCGGAGGCCTGGGGATGACGGGGGCAAGGTGGCCCATCATCCCATCCTCAGGACAATCAGCGTGTCCTCGAAGACTGGCACAGCGGCAACTGCATCCAGAGCCAGCCACTGTTGGGAGCCCAGGGAAGTCCTACGCCCGCCGGGGCCTCAGTCTCACGGTCTGAGAAATGACCCCACAGGACGCCAGGGTGGTGCACAGCCGGATTCTAGGGCGCAGCCCTGCCCCGCCTCCAAACAGCACCCGTAGGATTAGAGTCCAGCTCTCTCCCCCTGAGCCCAGCTCCGTGACGAGGACAGCCAAACCCACCTCAGGGGCCGCAGGGCATGAAAGGCAACGCCTGGCACAGGCGGCTAAAGGTGCTTGGTCCCGCCTGGCCTTGAGACCCTCTGTGCTCTCTCCAGTATCCAGCCTCACATCCGCTCTTGCCCTCTTCCGTCATCCCTACTCCACTGAGCTTGGCTGGAGCTCCACCTCCTGCTGGAAGCCCTCCTGGATTGCTCTGGCCCACAGTCCCCCTCCTCTGCACCACGTCTTCACTCTTTCACCAGACGTGCACTCTGCTGGGCACCCGGCTCCAGACAGATATGACTCCGGCACTGCCACTGTCTCCTGAAGGTGAGGCGGGGAAGAGAGAGCACAAAGGATGAAGACTCAAAGGCTGGGAGAGGGTCCGAGCAGAGGGAGACCCAAACTGGCTCCTCGGGGTTAGGGAGGGCTTCTCCTGCGGAGGGCCCTGGACTCGTGTCCTCAAGGGTGGGGACCGGTGCTGCAGGGAGGGGAGAAGGGAAGGGAGGGACAGCATGTGGTGACAGGGAGGTAGGGGGGAGCCAGGCTCCAAGGTGAGCGTCTCTGGGGAGAGAGAGCTCAGCTGGGGGTGGGGGAGGACAGGGTGAGGATGAAGGTGCACATCTGCCCCTCCGCCCCAGCCAGAGAGACACACCAGGAGAGCACGGGGGTGCCATGGCCATTGGGTCAGGGTACTATGGGCCTTGCCAGGTGGGCACTGGGCAGGCGTCCAGGAGCGTCCGTGTCCACCAGCCTCCCTCTCCACTGACACGCCTACTTCCTTGGATCAGGTCACAGCCAGGCCCAGAGGCAGCCCCTCCCTCCACACAGACATGCCAGCACCCCCCCAACAAGGAACAGCCCCTGCCCCCCCCCACCCGCCTCTACTACCCCCAAAGGGGTCACCAGCCCTGAGACCAGCGAGATGGTCAGAGGAGGGTCTGGAGGCCACAGCCAGCTTAGCCCCTGCCCCCTCCCAAGATGGCTCCCCCCCTTCCTAGCTGACACTGAGGCCTCCCAGGGGTGCCCCGCCCCTCCCTCCCCCCTCCCCCCATGCATCTGGGCTCGGAGACCGGGAAGGGGGGTGGTGAGGAGCCTGGGAGGGCGGCCGAGAGCCCCAGCCCTCACCTCTGCCCTCCCTGCAGCAAGGGTCATCGCCAGCCCACCCGGCTGACCCAGGCGGAGGTAGGGCGGCGGCGTGGAGGGGGCAGGTGGCCCCTGAGCATGAATATCCCGGGTCATCTGACCAGCAGTTCCCCAGCCGGGGCAGGCTGGTGCCCTAGGGGGAGTCGGTCCCAGGTCCCAGGGCTTGCACCCCTCACCCGAGGCTCAGTTTCCCAGGGGGCAGAGGAGAGGAGGGGCGGGGGCACCAAGCCCATGCCCCTCTTCCAGTTCTTGCAGGAGGGCGACGCAGAGTAACACAAAGCAAACTCCTGGGGCACCGGGGGTCCCCGGCTGCGTCCGCAGCCCGAGGGTGGCTCCTTCGCCGGTGCGTGCATGTGTGCGTGTGTGTGTGGGGGGGGGGGTGCGCGCGTCCAAGCGGCGGTCCCTTGTCACCCCACCCGGGACCCGGAGCGCCCCCGCGCCCCCGCCCCGGGCACTCACTCCGTGAGCCCTCGGGGTGCCCGGCCGGCGCCCGCCTCCGCGAGGCACACCTGGCTGGCGCCCAGGCGCACCGGCGGGGACTCCGCCGCCCGCCCCCCCCCGGCCTGCCCGGCGCGCCCACCTTCCAGCCGGCCGAGCTGTTGCTGTCGCCTTTATCCTTGAAGTAGGGCACGTAGCGGACCATCCAGTCGTAGATCTGCGAGAGCGTGAGCCGCTTGTCCGGGGCGCTCTCGATGGCTTTGGTGATGAGGTCGGCGTAGGACAGGTTCCCCCACGCGTTGCGCCGCGAGCTCTTGGCTTTCCGCAGCGGCCCGGCCTCGGCGCCCAGCGGCGGCGCGGGGGCCAGCGGCGGGGCGGCGGTCCGGCGCTCGGGCCCGCGGTCCTCGGCGCCCTCGGCCAGCCCCGCGGCGCCCAGCGCGGCGTCCTCGTCGCCCGCCGAGTCGGGCTGCGGCAGGGGCCAGGTGCAGGAGCGCGGCCGGCTCTGCGGCGCGAAGTCCGGGTCCACGTCCACCTGATGCGCGCGGAGCTTCGCGGCCATGGTCCAGCCCGGCGCGGGCGCGGGCTCGGGCTCGGGCTCGGGCTCGGCTCGGGCGCGGCGCGGGGGGCGGCGGCGGCGGCGGCGGGGGGCGGGCGCGCGGCTCGGGGCTCGGCGCGCCCCGCGGAGGGAGGCCCGCGGGAGGGGTCCCTGGCGGCGCCCGCTCAGCCCCGGGGCGCCATGGGCCGGGGCGCCGACTCGGGGGGCTGCGCGCGCGGGGGAGCCCGCAGGGCGGGGGAGACGGGCGCGGCGAGGGGGCGGCGGCCCCGGAGCCCGGCCCCGCGCCTAGCACCTGCCGCCTGCCTGCGCCTGCAGCCGCCGCCGCCACCGTCGCCGCAGCCGCCGCTCCCCCGGCGCCCGCCCCGCGCGCGGGCCGCGCTCTCCCGGGACGCGGCCGGATTGCACCATGCCGGAGCCCGCGCCGCCGCCGCCGCCGCCTCTGCCGCCGCCTCTGCCGCTGCCGCCTCTGCCGCCGCCGCCGCCGCCGCCGCCGCCGCCCCGCGCCCGCCGCCGCTCCGGCTCCAGCGCCCGCGCCCGCCGCGCTCAGCGCCGGCTGCACCTCGGCAGGGGCGGGGCGCGGGGCGGGGCGTGCCGCCCGCCGCCGCGGGGTCCGGGCCCGCCGGGGCGCCCCGCCCGCCGGCTGGGGGCGGGGGCGCCGAGCCGCGGGCGCGGGCCGACCCCGCCGCCGCCGCCCCTGCGCGCCACAGCGCCGCCTGCAGAGCGGGGCGGGAGCGGCGGGCGGGGGCCCGGGGGCGGGCGCGGACGCTCCCATTGGCCCGCGCCCGGCAGGCCCCGCCCAGGGCTCCGCGGGAGCCCGCCCCGAAGCGCGCGTCAGCGGGTTATTGTTACAACCCCGGGTTTCCCGGGGCAACGCGGACGGGGCGGGGCGCGGGCGCCGAGCCCCGCCCCCCGGGCCCCGGAGGCATGCCCCGCCTCCGGTGTCCGGCCGGGCAGACCCTGGGTCCAGAAATCGAACGGGGCGATGACGATCCAGCCCTGCTCTTTGTGCCCTGCTCCGGGACGAGCAGGTCAGGCTGCTGGGCTTTGCCGCCGTGCAAGCTCTCTGCCTCTGCAGGTGGGTTCTTCCTGCGTGTCGTGGCCCCCCACACACACCCCACACACACACACACCCCGCAGTGCCTGGGGCCATCCTAGTTTTGATTCTCGGAACTTAAAGTGTCACAAAAGCAACCTGCTGGAGAACTAGGTAAAACATCCATGCGTCTGAGCACCGGGAAGCTTAGGTTGGGGTTCCAGGTTTGCAGCTCTCAACAAGTTCCTAGGTGCCACACTTTGCAGACCACTGTTCATCGTGGGAGCTTCTTGCAAGGGGGGGGGGGGCGGTTGGAATAGGACTTGCCTCAGAGTTCATCGCTTTGGGAGAAACCTCGTTCATCTAACATATTTATTGAGCACCTTGGCTGCACCACAGGGCACTCTTCCCATGCTTATGGAGAGGGCTCGCAGGGAACTCTTGAGAGGCCGAGGAGCGCCTCCAGCGCCGAGGCTATTGGAGTGGTCAGATGTTAGTCAAATCATCATTTGGTCTCAGAAGGAAAAAGCTGGCTGCGAAGTTGGAAGTTGGGCTGTTCATGACCTCATCCCCAAGGAGCCCTGGGCTAGGCTTCCAGCCACCATGCCACCTGCCAGCCTCTGCTCAGGGGGCTCCTCTGCCTGAAACACTCTCTCCCCTGCCTCAGAAGACCCTCCCTGGAGAATCTCCCACCCTTCAAAGCAGCACAAAGGTCAGCACATCTCTGACACTTTCTCTGATCCCAGCTGCCAACATCCGTCTCATTCCTCGTCCACATCCCTTTCGGCTCTGCCAGCAACACCTTGTAGCCCTTTAGCATAAGATCCCTCTATTGCCAATCAGGAAACTGAGGCCAGAGAGGGAAGATGACTTGCTTAGATGGCGTGGCCAGGACTAGACTCCCCAGACATGGTCTTAGACCTGGAGAAACGGGAGAATGCAGCTTGCAGAGTTTTCCAAGCAGTGGGCAGGTTGGGCGCAGAGGAGTAGTCCTTCTCTCTCCAAAATCCCCTCCCTCCAGCTTAGGTGGGGTGGGGGTGGGACTGAGGGCCCCAGCACGCAAATGTCTGACCCGGTGTCTGCCAGACATTTCCTAAAGGCAGAGGTGGGCATGGGAACTGTCGATGCCCCTTCCCTTACTCCCCCCCCCACCCCTCTGTTTAGACTAAAGTGGCTCTGTTTAGACTCTCAAGAGGCATAAAACCACTGCAGGGTCCTCTGCCACAGTTCTCATCTGCCGCCCTTGCCTAGCGAACCACACTGGGAGTGTCCCCGGGGTACCCTGGTGGCCAGGCACGCTGCCTGTCAGTCTTCAGCCCTGGCACAGCCTGCTCTGTGAGTCCAGGGCCTGCTGAGGGTCATACCAGAGCTGGGAGGATCCTTAGCTGGGGGGCCTGGCAGAGGCTGCCACTGCTGGCTGGAGAGCCAGGTTGGCAGAGACACCCAAGAGGCTGACTCAGGCTGTGCTCAGGCCCCTGCCCCACCCTGTGTTCACAGCTCCCCTCTGGGACCATCCCCTTCGACCTGGCAGACCCCTGCCCCCTAACACACACACAGACCCACAAACACACACCACACACACACACCACTCCAACTCACACCCAGCATGCACACTGACACACATTGACAATGTGGGCCCTGCCTGCAATCGCATTTATTATGAGGCGGTCTAACCCAGTGACTAAGAGGACGGACAAGTTACTTAACCACTCAAAGACACTGCTTCTTAATCTATAAATGACTATCATCATAGCACTAATTTCATAGGATATGTGAAGAATTAAATACGATTATGAATGTCAGCACTAGGCTCAGAGTAAGTGCGCAAAACGCTCGCTGGTTTTGGTTACTGATGGGTAGTGTGCCGACACCCCCTCTCCCGTCCTCCAGGCGCCCACGTCTCTCCTGCTGTCACATGCTCGTGCCCACTCCCTTGCACACTTGCAAACCTCCCTTCCACTGTCCCCGTTTCACAGGCACCTGCTAGCTGCTGCTGCGTGTGGCCCCTCAGTGCTCCGCCCCTCCCCCTCCCCCTCCCCCTCCCGCACTCAAGCTCCTATTTACCTCCTCACCACTCCCACATTCGTTCCTTCTCACAAACAAGCCCCCACTTGCTTGCTTTCCCTCGCATTCCTCCCCTTTCCACACTCAGGCACATTTGCTGCGCACTTAAACACGCCCTGGTCCCAGCCTGTGCGCGCGCACGCTCACACACACACACACACACACACACACACACACACTGTCTCGCTCGCATACTTCCAGATGCCATACCCACTCAACTTGTACTTGGGTTACAGGACTTGTCCACACCCCCTAACCCACCCCGGTGCACGCCTCAAGATCTCAGCGGGAGCATCCCTCCCAGCGAGAAGCGCACCCCACTCAGCTCTCCTCCCGCTGCACCCCCTCCGGGTGCAGGACCCACCCCTGGCCCTCCCTGGGCTGTCTCCCCCTGCTCCTTCCCCTCCTCCAGCCTCCGGCCCCAGCCCTCCCAGCTCTCAGAATAGCCCAGGCCACTGTGGCCATGGCCACTGCCACCTCCTCGCGGCCACTGCTGGGCTGTGGAGCCGGCCAGAGCCCGCTTCCCCGGTGCTCGGTGCCAGCTGCTCGCTCGCTCAGGGCATGCGAGGACAGGAGGACGGGCTTTGCTGAGAGCGGGAGGGCGGGGTACTCCTCAGCCACCCCCTCACCCTCTCCCAGAGCCCACCTGGAAGAAAGACAGCTCTCCAGGGAGCCAGCTGCCACTGAACCAACTTCCACCCCGTCCCCCAGGGGTGCTGGCAATGTCCCCGCACCCCCCACTGCCTGGCTGAGAGAAACCAGCTTCTGGGGACCAAGAGGTTTGCCAAGGAAGCACAGTGATTTGGGAGCAGAGCCAGACCTCGCAGTCCAGGCCCCAGCCCTTGGGGGTGGGGGACTCCAGAGGCTCCTCCTCGAAGTTGTCCCCATCACCCTTCCCTCTCCTGCCCCCACTGCCAGCGCTGAGCCAGCCTGGTTGACATTTGATGCCAGGGTTGTCAGGAAAAATAAGAACAGCACTGGGGGGTGATGTCTGGGCCGGCTCTGGAGGGGAACCTGGACAGGGAGGGGCTGGTGGCCAGGGGTGGAGAGGGGAAATCTGCAGAGGCCAGAGGGGACATCAGGACAGCTGGGAGAGCCTCCAGGCGGCCCAGGCCTGGCCCAGGGACAGTGTCCGGTGGTGGGTAGGGCTGGCGGAGGGGGGCAGTGCAGTTGGGAGTTTGTGGGGATCTTCGTGAAAAGACCCCAGGCTCCTTCGGCTGCCTCCACAGCCCACGCCTGGGCCAGCGAGTTCGGGCTTTAGGGAGGCAGCATGGACCAGCCGCTGCTCGCTGTCCTGGACCTGGGCCCTGGGCTCACAGGACTTTGTATCCCTCTGGGCCAGGGGGCTGTACCACCCCTGGCAAGTGGTAGAGGACTTATGCCAAGTGAGCCACTCTCCCAGGCCCAGCCTGCTCTGCAAAAGCCCTCTCATTCAGCCTCAGCGTCTCAGTCCCACGAGCTTCACTGAGTCCTGACTAAGGGGCAGGCCTTGCAGAGCCCCCAACATGTTTTATCCAGAAGAATCTGGCTCTTTGGGCAAGACTTGGCCTTTCTGGTCCCTGCTGCACTGTGGAGAGCTGGGGCTGGTGCGGAGACCTCCGTAAGTCCTCGCTGAATAGCAATGAGTGCTTTCATCCCCACAACCACCCTAGAGGCAGATAAGCTTATTCTCATTTTTCTGGAGGAAGAAATTGAGAAGGGAAGAGAATCACCTACTTCTCTAGGACTCAAAGTGAAGTTGAAAAAGCTGTGTTCTTTTTAGAACATCTGGAAGCAGAGGGCAAAGAGCTTCTGGACCAAATACTTCCTTTCTCAGAGTCTCACTTCTGGCCTGGGAAATGGTCCTGCTTCTCTGTGGGGCTGGAGCAAGAGCACAGTGGGTAAAGCGTTTGAGCCCGGCAAGCTGCAGAGTATCCCGCCCAC